GAGCTCTGTTACCTTCAGGGCAGGTAAACGGTGGAGAGGAGGAACGTGTTTTCTCTGACAGCAAAACTGCAGGGCAGGTTTCCAAAGCAAACTCAGCAACTGATCCCATTGGCTGCCTGCTGATGACATTGCAGGTAGTCTTGTCAAAAAAACTGTTCCTCACCCCAGCCCAAGGACCAGTGGCACAACACCCTGACTTAGACTTAGGTAATTAATGCAACCTAGTCATGCTGTCCAAGAGCTGGGAAAATGAAAACTGAAATGAGATGCAAAAATGGAGAGTGACATTTGCATTGGAGAGCGGGAGAATGAAAAGAAGTTCTGTGTGCATAAGAAAAGCTCCTCCTGTGTACTGGGTTCTTCAAAAGGGAATGAAAGCAGAGCCCTTTGGAGATGCAAGCTGGTTTACCCGTAAAGCAGACCTGATGAGCAGCTGGCGTTCTGCAGTCGCAGCAGTGGGTTATAAACCTTTCAGCTTACCTTCAGTAAAACAAGAAAAACACACTGCTGGAATAGACTGCTTCGCTGGTTTGCCTGACATATGGTAGTGACCCCAGAAGAGGCTTGTTTAGTTTTTTTCCCGCAAAAAAAGTAAAGACCAGAAATAGTCTGTCTGAGATGTCTGTTCACCATGGCTATTCTGAAAGCTGGCCTTAATATTCTTGCTGCTGATTCTGCTACCAGTGTATGGCTGTTGCTAGGAATTTTGGAGACCTCCTGCTGCTGGAGATCAAACAGTTCTGGTCTTATCTGAAATACAATTTGTTTTGCCACTCTCGAGTTTGTGAGTGAGAATGTGAGGTTATGCAGCCTCACGCAGATATGAAGAACAGTTCCCATGTGCTAATAGAGACATGTTTGCTGTTGTTGATAGTTACCAAACTTTTGTCCTGTTTATTCGCACCCTTGTTTGTTTGTTTGATGTTGCTGTTGAGACTGTTTCGTCTGTCCTCCGGAACGCCCATGAGCTGACATGCAAAGAGAGAAAAACAGAAGAGCCTTAAAACCCAGCTGATGAACACTCGTTATGTCTTTAATAACCCTTTTTAACAACGGACAGGGAAAGGAATCTTCCGCCTTCCGTGTTACAATTGCACTCATGCAAAATGTTAATTCCCAAAGCATCTCTGCCTCACCCTCACTCTCTCCGTGTTTGTTGCCAGGGCTGTGCTTCCTATGGATGGCAGATCAATGTGAGCAACAGGAGGTGAGGCTGAAGGAGGTTGTTGGGTTTTTTGCTGGAGTTGGGTGAATGAATGTGCTAAGACTTAATTCTGTGCTATTCGAGCGATCTTTCTGTGTCTAAGA